CGCTTGGTGCTAGCAGAGCCTGATGGAGACTAGATTAATTGATGAACAGAGGTTACCATCCTGATTACTGTTTACTTTGACCCTTACGCTTTGTAACAGGTACCGCTATAGTAGTGTGGACCAGGAAATGGGAACAAGGTGACCGTGCACTGATCATTTTAGAATCTAGATATGTTCTCTGTCTGTTTTATTTGTCTGAATTATCATCTTTTGATCACTCCACTGGTATCTTTTTGTCCAGACATCTATGGTCGGAGATGCTATATGAGAATTTAAAGCAGTTTAATTTATTCTGAACAACATGTTTTTGTTATTAGCTTTCGATTTACATCTTGCATATTTGTAGCTTTTGAGTTCAATTAGGTGGTGTTTGGTTGGCTCAAATGTAACGTAATCTGATTACTGAAGGTAACGAATCCCATTTCATATGTTTGGTTGTGGTGGTTTGTAATGTTTGGTTGCGGTGGTTTGTAATCAATTGACACTGTAATCGAATCCCTTACCTAAATAATATCTATACAAGCTTGTTGCCCCTCCTCCTCCACCTAATCAGATAGAGCACCCATACCGTAATCGATTACGTTAGCGAGTGCAACCAAAAAAAGGGTAATCATTCATTCATTGCTAAATAATAATCGTAATCTGATCCCCTTTGAGTTTACATTACCTTAGCACGAACCAAACACTATCTTACTGTCTTTAGCTCATTTGTAGATTCGGTATGGCACCGGTGGGTTCTTCTGAGGTTTCAAAGTCAAAAGGCTTAAAGGCACAAAAAAATTCCTCATATGATTAAAAGAAGATCAAATAAGCCTGTACCAATAAACAAGGTTCGCGTTTCTAGGCATTGACATTCGCTACTAGAGCTCGTGTTCGCCATCCACCCAAACAATATTGGCGAGACGTTGAGTGGAAATGGGGAAGCACATGGCGAACAAGGGCAGAAGCCTGGCTTTCTTGACCTGGGGTCAACCAGGAGTCCAGGACACTATTCGTTCACCTGATTGGTATAACTAATCCACGCGTGTTGCTACATTGTCAGCTTCAAACTCTCCCGTAGGCGGTCGATCACATTTGTACAGACGCTGCTAGAAAAAACACCTCATCAATAGCGTTGCAGGAAAACGCCGTGTGAAACCTGTGCAGGCTGTGCTGCCTAGTGCTGGGAAATTAATGCGGTACAGGTGTTGTATGAAAAGCAGCGAATGGCCGCTTGGCGCTAGCAGAGCCTTGGCAGCAAATACTACTGGCCGCCAGACCACTCCCCTCCTCCATTCACATTGTATTATTTTTCAGTTCTCACACATCTTGTGAGCGTTTCCTCTGTGGCGAAGAGTGTTGGGGATCGCCCAAAAAAGATGGTCACCCTCGAGGTCGTTTTGTTTAGCATGATCAACTCAGCCCCACAGAATAAGTAGCCTCAGGTGAGGGTTCCTAACCTCGAGGAACAAATCTGGCATGAAAGACAGTTCCAACCTCGTGACGCTGCAGCGAGGTTACCGTCTGCTTGGCCGAAATTGGCCGAAAAAACAAGCCAAAACACTGTTCTGACTAAATTGTTGTGAGAGAAAAACAATGTTCCGGCTGAAAAAACAAAGCTGAATAGTACGGATTATAAGGTCAAGCGAACGGGGCCTATAGATGGCCAACGGGCCGGCCCGGTCCGGCATGGCACGAGCCCGTGCTAGGCACGGCCCGATAGGGCACGGCGCGGAAGGGCCCATCGGGCCACCGTGCCGTGCCGCACCAGTCCATCGTGCCTGGCCGACGGCCCAAGCACGGCCTGTCGGGCCAATTTCCGTGCCGGGCCGGCCCGATGAGCCCGGCCTTTTTAGCAGGTCGGGTCGGCCCAAGGCCCACCAAATGCGACAGAGAGGAGGGGGAGGCGAGGAGTGGAGGTGGCGGCGGCCGCCGGTGAGCTCCCAGGGTCGCTTGATGCCGAATCCGGCGATGTAGCTGGCAGAGGAGGTGAGTCCGGCGAAGTAGCTGGCGGAGGAGGTGAGTCCGGCCGGATCTAGGTCGCTCTGCTCGAAGCCACTGCAGGGGGGACGCGGAGGAGGTGACCAGACGCGCGGGGGGTCGTGGAGGAGGCGGCCGTTGCCGTGCTCGACGCCGGCGCTGCCATCACGCTGGACTTCAACGTGGTCGAGGGACGGGGAGTAACCGAGGAGGAGCGGGGTCGGCGCCACGGAGGGGATGGAGGCCGCTCCGCTCGAAGCCGTGCGGGGGGCGCGGAGGAGGCGGCCACAGCCAGATGTGCGGGGGGCCGTGGAGGCGGCGGCCACCGCCGCACTCGACGCCGTCGCGTGGTGGAGGTGGAGCTCTAGAGGCGGCGGCATGGGGATGGGGGAGGCGGAGTGGAGTGGAGGTGGAGGCAGCGGCGTGGCCGGGGATGGGGTAGGCCGGATGGAGGTATTATGGAGGCGGAGTGGAGTGGAGGTGGAGGTGGCCGACGTGGCCTTTTTAGCAGGCCGGGCCGCTCCCGGGCCTGCCTGCGTAATAGCAGGTCGCGCCATGCCGCCCGACGTGCCTGGGGAGCGGCCCAGTCACGGCCTGCTCCACCAGGCCGGACGGGCCCGCTGGCCACCGGTCTGGGCCAAAAAAATGGCTTCGGGCCGGGCCAACGGGTTGCGGGCTGCATGGCCATATATACGCGAGGTCAGTCTCGAAGCCGGGAAACAATTACTGATCATCGAGCACTAATGAAGCTTACCCTCGAGCGCTTGAAGCTGACTTCGAGCGCCGAGTTGTCCACTATCTTGTGCAGGGTCGTTGAAACAAGCTGAGGGTCGTGGCGTGAAGGTGGCGTCTCTTTGGTCCGAGGCTAAGGTGGTCTCGGGCCCGAGGTCAGGGACACGGAGGTGCTAAAAATGTGGGAGCTTGAATCACGTGGCTTGCTGAGAGCGTGATTGGCGTGACTGATTGAAGGCGTGGGAAGCGTGATTAAGGAGGAGACAAGTCATACAAGTTACCTCTTAAAAAGACCTCTATGTAAAGTATATTCTAGGAATGTAGTGGGTGAGTAAGGGTAATTGCGGAATGTAAAGTGTCCTCCGAGACACTATAAAAGGAGAGCCCTAGTTCTTGGAATCGAATCACAAGGACTGCTCTAATCCTATCACACTCGAGCCTCCTGAAACTTGTTTCCCAACAAAGAGGATGAAGCTTTGCCTCTGCCTCGTTTGACTGATTATCATCTTGTTGTTGCTGCTGCTGCTGCTAGGACTATAAGGTACTCCGCTGTAATCTTTTTCTTCCGACCAATGTTGTTTTCCTGCTCCCTTCCGGTTCGTTCTCTTACAAAATGTTTCAGTGTTCGCCTGTTCTTGGGGTAGAATGAAATTTGCCGTTTGACATTATGATCGATAAGGCAGGAGCCCATGCCAAACTCAAATCCATTGAGTATCCTTTAGCCGAGATGTATGTACCGCCAAATATTCTTGGCATTGGCAGGCAGACGATGATGCAAGGAAAGGTTAAGCTAATGGAGAATCAATTGCTACTCCTTGCCTCTCTTTACTGGGCTGCAGTCCTTGCGGTATTAGGGGGTGTTTGTTTCCAATTCCTAAACTTTATCGAATGTTTGATACATGCATGGAGTATTAAATATAGACTATTTACGAAACTAAATGCATAGATTGAGACTGTTTTGCGAGACGAATTTTTTAAGCCTAATTAGTCCACGATTTGACAATGTGGTACTACAGTAAACATATACTAATGGCGGATTAATTAGACTTAATAAATTCGTCTCGCGGATTACTGACGGATTCTGTAATTTGTTTTTTTATTAGTATCCGAACACCCCACGTGACACCTCCTAAACTTTAGTCACTGGATCCAAACGCCCCCTTAGTCAGTTCACTTACAGGGTGTGAGGAACGACGTAGTCCATCTTCTCATCATTCCTCACTTTTTTGTTTGGTTTGCTGAATGGAATAAGTTGATCTATCACCGTTTCATTTCTCACAGGCTAATAGTTGGTAACAGTACGAGGAATGGAATCATTCTACCGAATTTGAGTAATTGACTCATGACACGTGCATCACCTTATGGAATCTGGGAACCCTTGGCTGCATAGCATTTAAACCGTTTTTGTTTTCCAGAACTGATTATCCAAATATTGGTCTGTTTCTGTTTTTCAGAACTGATAATCAAGCAAGGACCTTATTCCAAGTTTCCAACTAGTTTGTTGCGGAACCTCTGTGGACTTGCCACTCAATACAAGACACCACCTGCTAATGGTTTGATCTTTGAGCCAAAGCTAGATGGAATCAAGAACAGCTCGCACGGGTAAGTCGACCCCTCACCGGCGATCTCGCACACAAACTACGGCTGGAGGTAGAAGAGGGAGGGAGAACAGTTCATCTGGTGACCCGATTCAAGGTTTTGAGGATCCAAGCGAGCTGCTAGAAGGGTTGAAGGAGCTGCTACAAGGGGGGCACCAGATTTCACATACCAACGACGACAATTCGGTACGTAATCTAAACAAAACATTCATGGATCCAAAAATATAATATTGAAGAACTAAAAATTGTTGAGAATCTAACTGGTGTTGAGGACAGATGGACTGGCGTCTCATGGAAGCAGCCATAATTGGTGACGCCGTATCTATGGAGAACCTGTATTTACACGATCCGAACATTCTGCTTGGCACCACTCCGCAGAGGAACACCTGCCTCCACATCGCTTCCGTCCATGGCCACGAGGTGTTCTGCAAGGCCGTGCTGGCTCTGAACCCGTCACTCGCTGGCAGAATCAATGCAGACGGCGAGACGCCGCTTCACAGCGCCGTGACAAACGGACGTGTTTCTGTAACCTCTGTTTTACTCGTGTGCTGCCGCGATCAGCAGCTGGGCGAGGCGATCTTGAAGCAAGACAAGAACTGATTCAACGCACTGCACAACGCCATCCGTAGCGGATACAGGAAGCTCGCGCTCGAACTGATTGAAGCAGAGCCTGCCTTGTCGCGCGCTGTGAACAAGCACAACGACTCACCCATGTTCATGGCAGTGATGAGAGATTATGCTGATGTCTTCGAGAAACTGTTGGAGATTCCTGATTCAGCTCATGTGGGACCCAACGGCTGGAATGCTCTGCATGCTGCCGTGAGAAACGGTAACTCTGGTGAGAAATGCGTACTATCTGGCGGAACAAAAAATTTTAGTGTATTCTTTACCACTTCGTGTCTATTACATGTCTTTACTGCCTTTGTTTGCAGCCATCGCTAAAAAGATTATGGAGACACGTCCTGAGCTGGCAAGAGAAGAATGCAATGGCAATTCTCCAATGCACCTGGCTGTATAATGGGACAAGATTGACGTGCTAAGAGTATTGTTGGAACATGATCGGTCTTTAGGGTATTTAGTCAACTCAGTGAGTGCCCCTCTTCTTAATGCTGCTGCACAACGAGGACATGTTGGTGTTGCTCGAGAGCTTCTTAAACATTGTCCAGATGCTCCCTATTGCGATAAAAATGGCTGGACATGTCTGCACAAGGCTGTAGACTATGAAAAGACGGAGTTCGTAGAATTTGTACTCGGTTCGCCACAGCTTGGTAAGCTCATTAACATGCAAAATTCAGTCGGAGATACTGCTCTGCATATGGCAGTCCTGAAGTGCAATCCGAAGATGGTCGCCTCTTTACTGCATCACCAAGATACGGACGTCACAGTGGTTAACAACGGAGGTGTCCCAGTAAAGGGGAATTTATATGGTGCCACTGATCATGCCAAGACTTTAAACTGGGTACGTATACATGTTTGCTCAGTTTGTTGTTGGTCCACTAAATCAGCATGTATGCCAGCCTTCATCACCGTCATATTATTGTTCCCCACCTAAGATGCGTTAAGCAACGGTTCTCATTTTTTTCCAATCATTCTAAAATTTCTCTAACTAGTTTACGCAAACAACACCGATTTTAAAACTAATTTACTACTTTGATTTTAGCAACCGTGCCAACAAACGTTTTAGTTTGATTGGACACTTCATATTATTATGAAATGATTTTACATATTACTCCCTCTGTTTCAAATTGTAGGTTGTTTGAGCTTTTCTAGATTCATGGATTTTGCTATGCATCTAGATACACGCGAAGTCTATATACATAGCAAAAACTGTGTATCTAGAAAAGTCAAACGACGTGTAATTTGAAATGGAGTGAGTACAAAAAATGGTTGCATCCCTTTGGTATCCATGCAGAACGGATTGTGAAATCTAGATGGAATTCAATACCATTTAAGCACGCTGTAACAATGTAGGGTTTTTTTTATAGAAGGCCATTGCAGCAATGAAACCGAAGGGAACAGCACTAAAAAAAAGTCGTTGCACCAACCTAGCTTGTGATTGTAGATTTTCATTTTTTTTCCAAGAGTATTATATTAATTAAAAGTTCCATTTGCATGCTTCTTTGCACCGACCTCGTGATTGTAGATTTTCATTTGTCCAATAGTATTATATTAATTACTACAAGTTCTATTTGCATGCTTCTTTGGATTTTTGCAGAATGAAATATCCATGCTTTTGTTGAAAGCTGATCCTCAAGAGGCAGGATCTATTTATAATCTCCACAAGGATGCCAAGGATGAAATGACAAACTTATCAAGAACGGATATCAAGTCACTGACTCAAACGTACACAGGCAACACTTCCTTAGTGGCAATCCTCCTCGCGACAATTACCTTTGCTGCTGCTTTTACTTTGCCAGGAGGTTACAGCAGTGATGCCGGAAGCCAGGGACTTCCCATTATGGTCAGGAAGGCTGCGTTTCAAGCATTCTTGATCTCTGACACCTTAGCAATGTGCGCTTCACTTGCTGTGGCTTTCATATGCATCATAGCAAAGTGGGAGGATCTTGAGTTCTTGCTTTACTACAGATCTTTTACAAAGAAGCTTATGTGGTTTGCGTACGTGGCAACTACCACAGCATTCGCAACTGGTTTATACACAGTTCTGGCCCCTCGTCTCCTCTGGTTGTCTGTTACGGTTTGCGTTCTGACAGGTTTATTGCCCATCCTTACTAAACTACTAGGTGAATGGCCCATCTTAAAACTGAGATTTCGGCTGGGTCGGAAATTCAAGTCTGAGCTCCTTGATATGGTCTAATATCTCTGTGCCTCTTGGTATTCCAGATACTTTCTCATTTTATGGAAGGAATAAGAAAAATGTGTGTAAGTATTATTTTGGTAATTCGGAATTCCATGTAATACCTGAACCATGTACTTTACGTCAAGCTTGAGCAGATGAGTAATGTTTCATTCTGTTGATGAGGAATATTACATGATGAATATTCTGGGGAAAATGAGCAGTAGTGCCATGAAACATGCTCATTGATACTTTTTAAATATAATTGTTTGTAATGAGGTTATGGAGCTTTGGATCTGAAATATTATTTCACCATGAAACAATAATACTGGGGAAGAAATATATTTTAATCAAAAGGATGCATGTCTCTATCGGCAAGATATAATAAGCGACATCTTTTGGGACTGAGCATTAGTTCAGTAGTGGAATGGCTTTTTTCTGAGAGTTAAACACAGTATAGCTCGCATAAATGAAATCAGAGATCCTGTTGCACATAATAACCACAAAAATGCTCCAAGAAACGGTGCCCACCAGCGTCATCTTGTTGTAGGGACTACGGAGTAGGGGAAGCATACACCTCAAAAAATAAATGTGCTCTAATTATATGATCCGGCACAAGTGTGCCCTGAGCTTCATTAAATGCAGAACTGACATCAAACTGGAAACTAAAATGCTTGCAACTCCAAAACCAATCAACATTGAACATTTGAAACTAGGAAGGAACATGAATGAAAACATAAACAAAAATGCAACATAAAAGGCCACAAAAACATCAACAGATCAACATTGTTTCACATTACTAAAGTTATCACTACAGCTAAAATTTGGACAAGGATACAGTTAATCCAGCAAACCATCTTACAACCAAGACATAGCAATCCTGAAGATACAAGGCAAAGGATATACAGAACATGAACAACACAAAATGGTACAGATGTTTCAACCAATGGCATATCCTAGAGCTTCCTAATTGTTGGTCGGTAGCGCAGGAAGCTGAAAAGATACAGAGCAATACTTTCAGACTGACCTGATTATTCAAGTTACAACAACTCCTACATTTTTTTGGTATCTGACACGCACCTACTCATCACAAAGTTCAACTAGTTTGCCACAATAAGCTCATCTTCAGGATCGGCATTTTGAGGTTGCATGGTCAATTCATCATCAGCTGCGCTGAAATGATATTTCTCTCCAACAGCTCTCAGAAGCTGGTAAACTTCAAACACTGTAGGTCTTTCCTTCGGAGAAGAAAGCACGCAACCTTCATGCATTGAAGCAGCTCAGCATCATTGTCCTTCCCAATCAAGGACTTGTCAACCGCATCCTGAAGTATAGAGTTGTTTGATAGGTAAGTCATCCAATCCACCAAACTGCCTTTGATGTTCTCTGGGGCATTTGACACATGTGTTGGCTCTTCACGAGTGACGAGTTCAAGTAAGATGACTCCAAAACTATAGACATCTCCTTTAGGGGTGGCCACAAGGGTGCGTGTATACTCAGGAGCTACGTACCCCAAATCACCAAACTCACCATTGACAAATGTGCTCAGGTGGGTATCAATGGGATTCATGAGCCTTGCCAACCCAAAATCAGGGATCTTAGGCTCATAGTCATCATCAAGCAATATGCACATCTTCAGGATCGGCATTTTGAGGTTGCATGGTCAATTCATCATCAGCTGCGCTGAAATGATATTTCTCTCCAACAGCTCTCAGAAGCTAGTAAACTTCAAACACTGTAGGTCTTTCCTTCGGAGAAGAAAACACACAAGAGCACGCAACCTTCTGCATTGAAGCAGCTCAGCATCATTGTTTCTAAGTCAAAAGGCTTAAAGGCACAAAAAATTCCTCATATGATTAAAAGAAGATCAAATAAGCCTGTACCAATAACCAAAGTTCGCGTTTCTAGGCATTGACATGCTCGCTACTGGAGCTCTGTGTTCGCCGTCCACCCAAACAATATTGGCGAGATGTTGAGTGGAAATTTTTGGAACTTGAAATTATGTTTCGACTTTGGACATTAGAAATGGGGAAGCACGAGGCGAAGAAGGGCAGAAGCCTGGCTCTCTTGACCTGGGGTCAACCAGGAGTCCAGGACACTAATCGTTCACCTAATTGGTATAACTGATCCACGCGTGTTGCTACATTCTCAGCTTCAAACTCTCCCGTTTAATTGCGGACTCTTGGGTAGGTGGTCGATCACATCTGTATGGACGCTGCGGACTCTTGGGTAGCCGTACGTTTCGGTGAAAAGCAACGAATGGCCGCTTCGTGCTAGCAAAGCCTGATGGAGACTAGATTAATTGACGAAGAGAGGTTACCGTCCTGATTACTGTTTACTAGGACCCTTACGCTTTGTAACAGGTACCGCTATAGTAGTGTGGACCAGGAAATGGGAACAAGATGACCGTGCACTGATCATTTTAGAATCCAGATATGTTCTCTGCCTGTTTTATTTGTCTGAATTATCATGTTTTGATCACTCCACTGGTATCTTTTTGTCCAGACATCTATGGTCAGAGATGCTATATGAGAATTTAAAGCAGTTTAATTTATTCTGAACAACATGTTTTTGTTATTAGCTTTCGATTTACATCTTGCATATTTATAGCTTTTGAGTTCAATTAGGTGGTGTTATGTTGGCTCAAATGTAACGTAATATGATTACTGAAGGTAAGGAATCCCATTACATATGTTTGGTTGCGGTGGTTTGTAATGTTTGGTTGCGGTGGTTTGTAATCAATTGATACTGTAATCGAATCCCTTACCTAAATAATATCTATACAAGCTTGTTACCCCTCCTCCTCCACCGTAATCAGATACATCAACCCACACCGTAATCTGATCAGGTTAACAGAGTGCAACCAAACAAAGAGGGTAATCATTCATTCCACGGCGAAATACACTGTAATCTGATCCCCTTTGTGTTTACATTACCTTAGCACGAACCAAACACTATCTTAGTGTCTTTAGCTCATTTGTAGATTCGGTATGGCACAGGTGGGTTCTTGTGAGGTTTCCAAGTCAAAAGGCTTAAAGGCACAAAAAATTCCTCATATGATTAAAAGAAGATCAAATAAGGCTGTACCAATAACCAAAGTTCGCGTTTCTAGGCATTGACATCCTCGCTAGCTCTGTGTTCGCCGCCCACCCAAACAATATTGGCGAGACGTTGAGTGAAAATTTTTGGAACTTGAAATTATGTTTCGACTTTGGACATTAGAAATGGGGAAGCACGAGGCGAAGAAGGGCAGAAACTTGGCTCTCTTGACCTGGGGTCAACCAGGAGTCCAGGACACTAATCGTTCACCTAATTGGTATAACTGATCCACGCGTGTTGCTACATTCTCAGCTTCAAACTCTCCCATTTAATTGCGTACTCTTGGGTAGGTGGTCGATCACATCTGTATGGACGCTACGGACTCTTGGGTAGCCGTACGTTTGGGTGAAAAGCAGCGAATGGCCGCTTGGTGCTAGCAGAGCCTGATGGAGACTAGATTAATTGATGAACAGAGGTTACCGTCCTGATTACTATTTACTAGGACCCTTACGCTTTGTAACAGGTACCGCTATAGTAGCGTGGACCAGGAAATGGGAACAAGGTGACCGTGCACTGATCATTTTAGAATCCAGATATGTTCTCTGCCTGTTTTATTTGACTGAATTATCATCTTTTGATCACTCCACTGGTATCTTTTTGTCCAGACATCTGTGGTCAGAGATGCTATATGAGAATTTAAAGCAGTTTAATTTATTCTGAACAACATATTTTTGTTATTAGCTTTCGAGTTACATCTTGCATATTTGTAGCTTTTGAGTTCAATGAGGTGGTGTTTGGTTGGCTCAAATGTAACGTAATCTAATTACTGAAGGTAAGGAACCCCATTACATATGTTTGGTTGCGGTGGTTTGTAATGTTTGGTTGCGGTGGTTTGTAATCAATTGATACTGTAATCGAATCCCTTACCTAAATAATATCTATACAAGCTTGTTACCCCTCCTCCTCCACCGTAATCAGATACAGCAACCCACACCGTAATCGGATTAGGTTAACAGAGTGCAACCAAACAAAGAGGGTAATCATTCATTCCACTGCTAAATACACTGTAATCTGATCCCCTTTGCATTTACGTTACCTTAGCACGAACCAAACACCATCTTAGTGTCTTTAGCTCATTTGTAGATTCGGTATGGCACAGGTGGGTTCTTGTGAGGTTTCAAAGTCAAAAGGCTTAAAGGCACAAAAAATTCCTCATATGATTAAAAGAAGATCAAATAAGCCTGTACCAATAACCAAAGTTCGTGTTTCTAGGCATTAACATCCTCGCTACTGGAGCTCTGTGTTCGCCGCCCAGCCAAACAATATTGGCGAGACGTTGAGTGGAAATTTTTGGAACTTGAAATTATGTTTCGACTTTGGACATTAGAAATGGGGAAGCACGAGGCGAAGAAGGGCATAAGCCTGCCTCTCTTGACCTGGGGTCAACCAGGAGTCCAGGACACTAATCGTTCACCTAATTGGTATAACTGATCCACGCGTGTTGCTGCATTCTCAGCTTCAAACTCTCCCGTTTAATTGCGTACTCTTGGGTAGGTGGTCGATCACATCTGTATGGACGCTACGGACTCTTGGGTAGCCGTACGTTTGGGTGAAAAGCAACGAATGGTCGCTTGTTGCTAGCAGAGCCTGATGGAGACTAGATTAATTGACGAAGAGAGGTTACCGTCCTGATTACTGTTTACTAGGACCCTTACGCTTTGTAACAGGTACCGCTATAGTAGTGCGGACCAGGAAATGGGAACAAGGTGACCGTGCACTGATCATTTTAGAATCCAGATATGTTCTCTGCCTGTTTTATTTGTCTGAATTATCATCTTTTGATCACTCCACTGGTATGTTTTTGTCCAGACATCTATGGTCAGAGATGCTATATGAGAATTTAAAGCAGTTTAATTTATTTTGAACAACATGTTTTTGTTATTAGCTTTCGAGTTACATCTTGCATATTTGTAGCTTTTGAGTTCAATTAGGTGGTGTTTGGTTGGCTCAAATGTAACGTAATCTGATTACTGAAGGTAAGGAATCCCATTACATATGTTTGGTTGCGGTGGTTTGTAATGTTTGGTTGTGGTGGTTTGTAATCAATTGATACTGTAATCGAATCCCTTACGTAAATAATACCTATACAAGCTTGTTACCCCTCCTCCTCGACCGTAATCAGATACAGCAATCCACACCGTAATCTGATTAGGTTAACAGAGTGCAACCAAACAAAGAGGGTAATCATTCATTCCACTGCTAAATACACTGTAATCTGATCCCCTTTGCATTTACGTTACCTTAGCACGAACCAAACACTATCTTAGTGTCTTTAGCTCATTTGTAGATTCGGTATGGCACAGGTGGGTTCTTGTGAGGTTTCAAAGTCAAAAGGCTTAAAGGCACAAAAAATTTCTCATATGATTAAAAGAAGATCAAATAAGCCTGTACCAATAACCAAAGTTCGTGTTTCTAGGCATTAACATCCTCGCTACTGGAGCTCTGTGTTCGCCGCCCAGCCAAACAATATTGGCGAGATGTTGAGTGGAAATTTTTGGAACTTGAAATTATGTTTCGACTTTGGACATTAGAAATGGGGAAGCACGAGGCGAAGAAGGGCATAAGACTGGCTCTCTTGACCTGGGGTCAACCAAGAGTCCAGGGCACTAATCGTTCACCTAATTGGTATAACTGATCCACGCGTGTTGCTACATTCTCAGCTTCAAACTCTCCCATTTAATTGCGGACTCTTGGGTAGGTGGTCGATCACATCTGTATGGACGCTACGGACTCTTGGGTAGCCGTACGTTTGGGTGAAAAGCAGCGAATGGCCGCTTGGTGCTAGCAGAGCCTGATGGAGACTAGATTAATTGATGAACAGAGGTTACCGTCCTGATTACTGTTTACTAGGACCCTTACGCTTTGTAACAGGTACCGCTATAGTAGTGCGGACCAGGAAATGGGAACAAGGTGACCGTGCACTGATCATTTTAGAATCCAGATATGTTCTCTGCCTGTTTTATTTGTCTGAATTATCATGTTTTGATCACTCCACTGGTATCTTTTTGTCCAGACATCTATGGTCAGAGATGCTATATGAGAATTTAAAGCAGTTTAATTTATTTTGAACAACATGTTTTTGTTATTAGCTTTCGAGTTACATCTTGCATATTTGTAGCTTTTGAGTTCAATTAGGTGGTGTTTGGTTGGCTCAAATGTAACGTAATCTGATTACTGAAGGTAAGGAATCCCATTACATATGTTTGGTTGCGGTGGTTTGTAATGTTTGGTTGTGGTGGTTTGTAATCAATTGATACTGTAATCGAATCCCTTACGTAAATAATACCTATACAAGCTTGTTACCCCTCCTCCTCGACCGTAATCAGATACAGCAATCCACACCGTAATCTGATTAGGTTAACAGAGTGCAACCAAACAAAGAGGGTAATCATTCATTCCACTGCTAAATACACTGTAATCTGATCCCCTTTGCATTTACGTTACCTTAGCACGAACCAAACACTATCTTAGTGTCTTTAGCTCATTTGTAGATTCGGTATGGCACAGGTGGGTTCTTGTGAGGTTTCAAAGTCAAAAGGCTTAAAGGCA